AAGACGTGGTTGAAATAAAATAATAGCACAAGAAATCCAGTGGCACTTGTTCACGGTCTGTTTCCCGCAGGCTCCGTAAGGCCAGAGAGTTTTGTTTGCTTTGTCCCTTGGTGTGTCCCTAGGGCCCAGAACAATCCCTGGCACTTACATAACAGGTGCATGAGGAATACTGGTTGAATGAACAGCCAAAAGTAAGAGAGCCACCTTTAAAGGTCTGAAATTGGGGACATTCTAAAGTAATGAGTGAACTTCGAAAAGTTCGTGGAGGATTAGTAAGTGGTGTGGAGGTTACGGTGCTAGACTCCTTTCTTTAAAAAAAAAAAAAAATTATTTTTATTTAACTTTATTTATTTATTTAAATTTGACCAGAGAGGGACAGATAGAAAGAGAGAGAGAGAAAGTGAGAAAAAAAAGCCACCAGGTCCAGAACTCAAACTGGGGTCAGCCATGTGGGAGTCCAGTGCCCTTAATCCTACGCCACCTGCTGACCCCAAGGCACTGGACTCCTACATAGTCAACCATGGACTGAGTCCTCAAACTGGCAGTTGGAAAATCAAGCTGAGCACGTGTGCATGCATGCCCCAAAAACCCCGAGAGGAGAATAGAGAAGGGATTATCGTATGGCCGTCTCCACTGGGGAGTGATTTCTCACTTTCCTTCTCTGTCCCTCTCTGCCTCTCTCTGGTGAGCAATACGCCCTATGGCAAATAAATAAATAAATAAAGGTAGAAAAATTGAATTGAGATATACGTTTATTTTAGTGCAAAAAATGTTAAATCTATGCATTTTTTAAAAAAAATAACATGCACTTCCCAGGAGCTTTCTGAAGACCACCCCATTCCCCACCCACAAAGATCTCAGTCCATAGGAAATGTTCAAAAGATACTGTTGGTGGGCCAGCCCTGTGTCTAGTTGTTAAGACAGCTGGATCCCACGTGACTGACCACACAGTTCAAGTCCCGGGTCTGGTGGATTGAAACACACGCTGTGCGTGTCTGCTGTGGGCCCCAACTCTTGACAGGTTGAAGAAATGGAGACTTTTGAGTAGAGAAGCCTCCTTACTCCTGTCCATGGTCACCAAGTGGCTCCATCTAGCGGAGGAGCTGGACATGAGGAAACAGAGAGGAGCTGTCTCTCTGCTGTTTCCTGTTGAGTCACCAACTCCATGAGCTTAATACAGTGGTTGTTACTGGGGCCAGCAGGTGGCGTGGTGGTTAAGGTGCTAGACTCCTGGATGGTTGACCATGGTCCAAGTCCTGGACACAGGAGTTGAAAATCACACTGTGTGCGTGTGTGTGTGTGTGTGTGTGTGTGTGCGCGCGTGCCTAAAATCCCAAGAGGAGAATGGAGAAGGGATGGTGGCGTGGCCATCCCCCTGGAGGGTGATTTCTCACTTTCCATCTCTCTGTCTCTCTCCAGTGAGCACATATGCCCTATGGCAAAAACATAAAAGAAAATAATAATAAATAAAGTGGTTATTACTTTATACCGCTAGAATTGAAGTGGTTTGTTAGGAAGCAACGGAGCCAGAATGGCTGCTCACGTAACAGGTGCATTATTGAAAGGGTATGACTTCCCATACAGAAACTGAAAGCCATCTTCCTGCTTACACCGCTCTGAGTGGGAGCACCCACGGTAATTATTTACAAACATAAAGTTAATGGCCTTCACAATCGCTGTGTAATCACAGCGGTACTTTATGTGTGGAATAACCACTGCGGGTTCTACGCGCCTGCAGGAATGACAACGGATCAACCACATCCGGAGCTTCCACTCCCCGGCCCGTCCAGGAGGATTTCTATATTTGAAAGGGAACGTTCGGCTAGAAACACCACGCAGGAATGTCAAGCCTCGCATGTGTTCCTGATGTGGTTACGCTAATTCCATTAGACGGATCAAAGGCTTCTGAATCGGAGCGACACAGACATAACAAGAAAGTGAAAGTTTTAATATTCAGCCTTTCCGGAGCCCAGGAGAACTTCTAGCAACCTAGTGGTGGTTATTATTTTTCTAATAGCTTCGTGGCTTTTGGGGGGTGGGTGGCAAGATGGGTAAAAGCAGGAGGAGAAACTGAGGCTCGCAAACACCCGGCGATATAAGGGAACGTGGCGCATGGCTGTTGAGTGAATTACCATCTCCCCAACCTTTCCCCCTCTGAGAGAGCAGGACCCAGAATGGCCCCTGGTTTATATATCCTCAACAGACTATTGGCCCTTTCTGTTCTTTAGAGAGAGTGCAGGAGGGCAATGAAGAGAGGGAGAGATATTCATGACACCCTTTGCCCAGCCTCTCAGTCAGCTGGGATGACAGGCCCACGCTGCTGTACCTGGCATGTTCAGGTGGGCCAGAGATCTGAACCTGTGGCCTCCCATAGGCCCCCAGCCTTGTACATCCTACTGCTTGTGCCACTGCTGCTGGGCCTGCCTATTGGTTTTCTCTCTTTTTTTTTTTTTTTTTTTAAGTTTTTCCTATAGGGCGTGTGTGCTCACCAGAAAGACAGAGAGAGACAGAGACAGAAGGCGAGAAATCACCCCCCACCCCAGCCCCACCCCCAGGGAGGATGGCTGCGCCACAATCCCTTCTCCTCCATTCTCCTCTCAGGATCTTGGGCATGCACGCACACGTGCCCAGCATGAGTTTAAGCCACCGGGTCCGGGACTCGAACTGCAGTCGACTACATGGGAGTCCAGCGACATAGCCATTACACCAAATACTGGTCCCCTGCCTATTGGTTTTCAATGTCCAGATTATCACTAGATGCCATAGACTAGGACTACATCCTTTAGATCCCCCAGGGCAGGGCCATGCCCTATTCAGCCAGCCTGCTCAGATCCATTCCCCTCCCTGCCAGAGTGACTAGCCCCCTCGGGCTGTCTAAGACATGATGGTATCTATTCGGAAACCCCTGGGGGATCCTGTTCTCTCAGAGTCCCCAAACTTCATAAAACAATGCATGCTACATTTGCCAGCCAATAATTACAAAAGAAAATTACAACACCGACACCCTGCTGTAACTCAAAGCAACGGGTGAGTCGAGTCTCGAAATATATCCCAGATTTCATGGGTAGGAGTGCACAGCCACAGGCAGATCTCTGGGAAAATTGCATGGAGGGTCTGCAAATGAAATGTATGGTTGGAGGGACTTCTAACCCTCAGAGCAGTTGGGATCCACCTGGCTAAGGGCGTGGGGATCAGAGACTAAGGCTGGGAGCATTTTCCAAACAGAGAGTTTGTTAGTTATTCAAAGGTGCTTTCCTGAGTCTATTTACAGTTGCTGGGGAGCTTGCGGTTGATGGGAGATGCAGTATAGTTTTATCATTTAAAGTCATGAGAAACAGGCATCCAGTGAGCATTTTTTTCCGTAGCAACAGCGGTCAACACCAGGCAGGAAATGCCGTTTCTCTTAGCATAGAGGCAGCAGTGCCCCCTGGTGGCCATCGAGGCTGCCATGAAGACACCTAGATGCTTTAGAAAAGAATGTGTTGGGTGGAAGGGCCTCCCAAAAACTGGGACTCAACCTCCAGTCTAGAAGGAGGAAGATGTGGGGGCCTCATACTGTGTTCTCCAGGCCTGACATCTTCGTCTCTATTCTATAAGACCCTGTTGTCTGTGTTGGCTCAAGATAGATGTCTTTTTTCACTCACTGGGCATCTATGTCTGCTTTTGCTGGAAACAGCACTCCATTTTTTGGGGTAGGACTCCTCCATATTTAGGTCTAGCTTCCCACCTTCATCGTATGCATCAGGGGAAGTGATTTGATGAGGAATGAGCACATGACCCAAATCTGTCCAGTGAGAGTTGGACCTGAGACTTTGTGCTGGAGCCTTTGGGAAAGCTCATTTTCCA